CTAGTATTCTCAAATCAGACAAGGATGCATTTACAATCCTTGAATCATACAACTTCTCAAGAATAGCAACAGTAACTGGCTCCTTATTAACCACGGACTTTGCTAGTTTCCGTTTAGCTGCTTCCAACACATTTTTTACAAGACTATTTCCAGTCGGACTCTCAACCCTACACTGCAATGTGCATGCCTTATGCTATAGAAGGCTGAAATGACAGGTGACACTGTATCGCTATGTTGGACAACAGATAAAAGATAAATGGCACAATGTAGGGACGAAATTGGTAACACATCAGGCATATTGTTCATTTTTGCCCACCTTTGCCATGCAGCAAAACCGTACGCATAGTTCCTTACAGTTGACTCAGCTCTCTATTCCGACAAAAAATCTGTCAGACTGCTAGCCAACTGGCGTACAGGAACAGGAAGTTGATCAAGTTCATTCTTATATGTACACAGGAACACATCTGTAACAATGAAAACCTCAATCAGCGGAAATCAACAAGAAGAGCAAGCATGTTAAAGTGCAGATCAGTTTCTACAAACATTCCTCCTGGAATCCTACTCGCTGTTTAAGGCTCTCTGGAAGTAGGCAAATATATACAAGCTTTAACTTGTGGAATAAACATTGAATTTCAAATTAATAAAGGCCAGAAGCAAGCAGAATGCCACTCGGGGACGATAAGCGTTCCCATCGCGCCACAGTGTGCCAAATGCTTGATCGTCTGGGGAATCAGACATATAGGGGGCACAATCCAGTTCATTGTTCCCTTCCAGTTCACAGTGAAGCAGTCAACAGCAGCACAACCGGGGCTGCTATAACGATAATTAAATACCTCTAGTTTGGTATTGTAATAGGTTGCAAACCTATCAACTTCATGAGGGCCCCATTTGGCGTTTACATTACCAAATATGTTTTTGGCAATGCCCCACTCGTCATAGTCGACCATCCGACTTAGGTAATCTGCTTTTTGGTTTTCATGACGTGGAATCCACTGTAATTGTAAGTTAATCCCATTCTTCACACACAAGTCAAATATTTCCAAAGCTAGAGACTGTAAGTGAACCTTCATGCTACCTTTCTCAATAATTGCAGTTACATTTTTGTTGTCTGTAAACCACTTGACACTTTGGTGTGATAAACTAGTCACAAAACTCTGCAAAACCACAAACACTGCTTTCAGCTCCCGCCACGTCGAGCTACGCAATGCCTCATCCCTTGACCACAGCCCATGATCTTCTTCCACACAGTAACCACCGAATCCAGTATCACTGGCATCTGAATATACAAGTCTCGTCGATACTGTTGCCTGAACTAGATATCTGGAACAATACTTATTTATGCAATCTGACCAAAACTTTAACTGTTTGATACTCGAATATGACAACTCAATAAAGCTCTGCCATGACGGAGCTGCAACCACGTCTATACTCAAAGATCTTGTCATCATCGGTGAAATTGGACCCATTACAATTTTCATAGATATTATCTGACCAACAACAGAAGCTATGTATTTAACTGGAAAACGCCTGTGCTTAGACTGCAATAACAGAGTAATGTCTTTCAATACCTTATTCCTTTTCCTGTCTGGAACGCTCATGGTCATAGATATTGTGTCAATCCTGAAACCTAACCACTTTATTGACTGCAACGGCAACCAAAGAGACTTTTCAACATTGGAACGAAACCTGACCTAAGTAAGCCCTGTTTAACAGCTGCACCTGACATGTGAGCTTCGTCCTGGGTAGAACCTGAGAGAATACCATCATCTCAGAAAGTTACTATTCTGTATCCCCCATACCTCCATTTCTTAACCAACTGTCTTGTGACTTCGGTGAACACATATGGAGCCGATGTTAACCCAAACGGGAGCACAGGAATTTATAGTAGTGAACGACTCCTGTTTGATCAAACCATGCGAATCCGAGATAATCTGTATGAGGGTGGAAAATATCGATGTGGTGATAAGCAGAATGGATATCAAATTGTATGAGCCAATCTTTATTTCCGATGTAATTCAAAGCTGTATGCCAATCCTCATATTTTACACTCTGTTTGTACACATAGCTGTTAATTCTATGAAGATCAAGGATCAATCTCTTCTTCCCAGAAGACTGGACTGAAACAGACAGTGGTCTGACGACAGTGGGAGGAATATCGCACTCGCATATAAGGCTTTTCTTTTTTAACACATCAATGGCTTGTGTCACAAAACCTTTGTGTTTGAAAGCTGATTGATTGTTTTTTATAAACATTGGAGGTGGCTGAAAGCAAAATGGGATTTTATAACCTTTAGGATTCAAATCTACAACAAACTGAGAGGAACCAATGTTTATCCAAAATTATCCTGTTTTTGAGACGCCCTTTAACCATAATTTCAGATGTACCCTGTTCATACTCATAATAATCATCTTGGAAAAACACAAATCATCGACAACATCATGACTATACTCAACTGACAAGCCTTGTGAACTATTGATTCCCTTGTGCTGATTCTCCAGCTGTGAACGTCGACAATCTCTGGGTTGACAAGTTTTGGGGACAGTCTCTCCTGAAGTGACTGAAGTCACCGCATGTGAAGCATGCTCCTGTCTTTTGACCTTTGACTCGAAAAAGCTGATTGTTGATTTGGTTGAATATGTTGAACAGAAGAAGCAGGCACAAAAGCAGTTTGCACGGGACGAGTATAGGTTGCCGATCGCCTAGCTGGCCTACTTCCATAGGGCGTTTGGCGTGCACGTTTCTGGCGTAATTTACACACAGCCTTGTTGTCGGCCCTCGCAATTTCCGATCGTTGTCGGAATCATCCGCCAGCTCATTAGAAACATAGTTCCGAACAGGCTCCAAACCGCCCTCAGACGAATCTGCTAATTTTATCAGTTTATTGCGTTTTTTGAAGCCTTGTGATTTCTGACGTGATCAACGTTTCACAGTCCTCGATACGTTGATTTTGAATAGCGGCCAGAATTTGATTTAGTGAATCTATAGTCTCTTCATCGAAATTGTGTTGAATTTTGTTACCCTCCCGTTTCCAAGCATAGTCTTTTTCAGCACGCAGTTTCTTGACCTCTTTGGTAGTCTGCTGAAATTCTATTCTCAATGCTCCGATGCGGTCATTGAGCAACAGTTCAAATTGAGCTATTTTAGACTCTAATTGCTGAAGTATTGCATCCAGTTTGGCGCCCGTGTCCATATTAAATATGACGTAATGGCCGTGCTTGCACTAGAGCGAGAATGAACAATTCAAATCTTAATACCGTTAAATACCCCTGTTTAGCGCCACCTACTGGCTCAGACAACTCTACTTACATCAAAGCTCCACACCACTAGGAGAAAGTAATTTCCTTCTTATTCATCCTTCAACCGAAAGAAATGACATGTCTCACGTGACCGACGCACTACCAGTAACCAAGAAGTGAAAACCCTCGAGAGAGAGAGAAGCTGACGCTGTGACATCGAGTGTGTTCATTCCCAGGTAAGAGACAAGGCATACGGATAAACAAAATCACCAAATGGCATTCAACGTCTCAATTTTTTAACTATGGATGTCCATTAATCAATATACCTAGAACCTTTCAAATACCTGATTACATTTTTATACGAGCTATTGACAAACCATATCCCAAGCTTTCATTTTGAGATTGAGAAATGCTAATACAATGGACGTGATCTGTTATGGTCATTGTGGTTGTGGGTTATCATAATAATACATCACTTATATAATGAGACACCATCTAGAACAATCATAGCACAATTAACTTAAATAGTAGGTGATCAAGGTATACGTGACTCCTAATTCACAATGACCTAGCAAAGCGAAAGTTGAGACTGGTTATAGATTGAACCTGCAAGGCAGTGTGGATTGTTTCAGTGTGTACTATAGTGTTCAATATGTTGTATTATATGTGTGTCCGCGCATTTTGTCCACACAAAGTAATCAAAACTCTCCTCATTTGTTGCTCAAGTTTTAAAGGCAAGTACGTGCCATTCAGTATCATTAGTGGTAGTAGAAGTTTGAGTAGTAGGGCAGGAGATGGTTGGTTGTTGTTTAACGCCACCCTCAGCAATGTTCCACCTATATGGCAGTGCTCAGACAATCCAGGGATCAACAGCATGAGCACCAATCTATTAGTGTAGATGCCATGTGCCAAACAAGTCGGCCACCCTGACCACTCGATCCCCTTAGTCGCTTCTTACCACAGGCATGGGTGGCTAAAGACCAATGCTAACCTGGATATTCCTTGGTGTAGGGAATAGTAGTATTAGTAGTAGTAGTAGTAGTAGTAGTAGTAGTAGTAGTAGTAGTAGTTTTAATGAAACTGGAAGTGGTAGTATTGGTAGTAGAAGCAGAGTAGCAGTAGCAGTGTAGTGGTAGCAAGTAGTGGTTGTAGCAGTAGTATTAAGCGAGTAGTAGTGGTAGTGGTAGTAGTAGTAGTAGTAGTGACGACATATGTAAGGGTTCATAGACAGAGTTGTCAAAACTGAGAATAACATAGTGTACATGAATTGCATGTATTAAACTGGTTCAATGACGCTGTGAGGTATTTGATAAGAGTTACTTCCCTTTCATCAGCAGACACGAGCAAACTGCCTGCTCCGATTTACTCGGCATGTATATACTGTTAGAAAACAAGAAGTAAAAAATTACTTTCCTACGTAGCTACACATTCAAAGACACTTAAAAAATACTCATTCCCAGCAAACGAAGTGCACATGTCTATTTCAACAGGAATGCTATTCCGATAGCTCAGGTGGCAGCAAATCACATATGATAATCGGAAAACTGGTGTGTTCTTTTTACAAACAACATCTAAACGTTTTTAAGCACGTAATCGTTTTTTGAAGCAGAACTTTGTGTACATAACGTGTTAGGATGTTACATGGATTTCATTTTACGTCAAGCACAAATCATATATGAAAATAGTTTTTGTTTTATTTACAAAAAGGGGGAGAGATCAATTTCAGTCATTCCACTTCGTCTTCGGTTTTGGGGCCATATGACGTTTTGTCACTCGTTTCAGATGGCTACTGCCAAGAAGCTGACAGAAAACCACCTGACCTGTGACATCTGTACAAAGGTGTTCACAGACCCTGCCACACTTCAGTGCAATCACACATTCTGCAAGTCCTGTCTGCTGAAATACACCAAAACACAGTCTGAAGCAATACAAGCCAAGTCCATCCCATGTCCCTTCTGTAGACAACAGACACAGGCGACCAACCCTGGCAGTCCAGTGAAGGAGTGGGTCAGTCAGCTGAAACCAAGCCACGTCATACAGAGTCTGATGGACGATTTTGGACCAGGGACAGAAGGTGAATGTTTTATTGTATGTTGCACGACCACAACGTGTCTATATGTTCCTTTTGCCATGTAGATAATTTTCTCAATTGTTTTCTGTGACATTTATAATCTGATATACATGAATGTTACCTTAGGCCTAAAGGTGTTTTAGACCTTCATCAAGTAGTCTCAAATCTATAGAGAGTGGATAATGGTGTTGTATTGAAAATAAACAAAGCATAAAAACGGTATGCCTCACTGAAAGATTCTGGTTAGAAAACTGTGCGTGTAAGACACAAGTGAAGTTCATCGTTTTCCAGTTATATTGATGTCTTGATGTCAGCTTGTTGAATAATTACAGACTGCCTTCAGACAGTTGGATTATAACTGAATGTTTATCAACAAACACGTCTAATACCCGTGTAAACAATCAAAACAATATATAAATGCTCATTTCATTACCGTCTAACAAAATATTCTGATTCTATTTAGATCCTGAGACTAGTGAATGCAGTGTCTGCAGGAACCAACAAAAGCAGACTCCAGCAACATCATGGTGCTTCTCTTGTAACTCGTCCTTTTGTGATGGTTGCTTGACTTTGCATGGAGCGATGCCGTTTTCTCTTGATCATGAAGTAGTGGTTTTTTCGGAATCCACCAAATCCAAAACGACACCAAAGCGTCTATTCAAGTGCAAACATCACGCCAGCAAACAGATCGAGCTCTTCTGCAAAGACTGCAAGGTGGCCATATGTACGATATGTTGCAGTATAAATCACAGGAAGTGTGATGACGTTGATACCATTGAGAATATGAATCCTCAAGTCAAAGAACAGCTGATAAAACGGAACCAGGAACTAAACATCAGAATCGGAAACATTAAACATGGCATTTCTGTCAGGAAAAAGCAGGGTGACGACTTCAGATGCAAGATAGAGGAAGCTAAAAGTCAAATCAGAAATACACGAGCTAAATTGGTAAAAATGATTATGGAAAAAGAAAAACAACTTTTACGTGATATTGATCAAACCTCCACTCAATACTTACACCAAATACAAACAGATATAGAATCCAAGGAGATCGAACTTCAGATGTACCAGCAGCAGTATGAGTTCACTGTCAATGCTGTGACGTCCAGCTGTGAGATGAACATGTATGCCGTTTTTGAGTCTGTTTGTGAGACATCTTTAGACAGTAAAGTCACAGGTATCAGACCAGCACCAAGAAGGGTCGTATTTACACACAACATGGAAAAACTAAGAAAATCAGTTGAGGAAATTCATCTTGGCGATGTTAAAATCGTGTGATCGGGAATCTGTCCCTACCTTATATCAAACCATTGACTGTAAGAAAGGGCGTGACATGGCACATCCAGCTGTGAATGATGTGACAGTGCTGGCTGTTGATGGTGTAAAGGTTGTTGTGTTTGTTGATTATAATAACAAAAGACTTAGCACATATTTCACACACGACTTACGTAGTACTAAATACACTCAGCTTTCTAACGGACCTTGGCGAATAACGAAGTGAACTGACTGTCAAGTAGCTGGTAGTGTTCCAGACAGTAAGGAAATAGTTACTGTGACGGTTTACCCACATCCTGTAATACTGTCAACTATCAAAACAAGCAACCCTTACTACAGTCTAGCCTATCTGAGTCCTTCACGGCTGGTGGCAGGTGGAATAGGTAGGACTGATATACTGGACTTGGAAGGGAATGTGCTGAAATCTATCAACACAGGGAAGGTATCTAGCGCCGACTATATCCATGTCACCGGAAATCGGAACCTGATAGTCAGTGGATGGGAAGTTAAATCACTTGTGTCTGTGACCAGTGAAGGAAAAGCTGTTTTCACCTACACTCCCACAGGAGACAGAGCTCTGAAATATCCTCACGGCATCACAACAACCAGCACTGAAGACATCATGTTTGCAGACAAAGGCTCCCACAAGGTGATGCAGCTGACAGAGTCAGGGAAGTTTGTCAAAGACGTTCTCACAGCATGGGATGGTATTGATTCTCCCCGTGGAATATGTTTGGACACAGACGCTTTCTTGTACGTAACTTGTAGGAACCTTTTGAAAGTATTCAGATTTGAAAAACATTGATTTCGTACACTGAAAGTGCTTTAATCTTTGCTGGTCGTTTGGGGATAGAGCCCAACAGAGAAAGTATGTTAAACGATTTCTGTACTGTTACACAATCAGTCACTATGTGACCAAAATGAATGTTTACATTCGCTTGATATAGATACACATCCACATTTGACTGAAAATATTTCAATATTTGATAAGTCGTTTCGGAATTGTCATACACGGAATGTTGCTGCATGTCAGAAATTGAACCAAACGGACACTACTCACGTTTGGTGACATTTGACAAAGAACTCTTCATGGTAACGAAACTATGGGATGTCGGTTCAATTATGTAGTGGCGGACTTTAGGTGGTTAATGAAATACAGTCAAATACCGCTGTCAGAACCTTGATCCCTATCTGTCCCTAAAGTAATGATTTGCGGTTGTGAGGATCATCGGATAACTCGAAGGATTTAGGTAGGTTATTTCAACTTCGACACAAGGGTGTTCAAGTGTAGTTTGATGTTGTCTTTTTTTGCATGCACTTAAATATTTTCTCCTCTGATACAGTCTAAACTTAAACCGATGAAATGTCAAACATATGTTTCATAAACTTATTACAAACAACCACTGAACGTAGGCCTTAAACCCTTTAGTTAAGATTCAAGGTTTCTTTCTTTTTCTCAAATCCTGAGGACAGTTTCTTACTATTTTTTAAATACATGATATTTGTATCAAATATGCGTAGTGGCATCTAACCTTTGTTTAACGATCTTGATTATATCAAGAAGGTATATCACTCATGTATATCACAACTACTTGTTAAGCGTTACTTGTATGAGCGTTGATTTACGCATGAAACGCATTGCTACATGTTAGCAAATATGTACACCGATACAAAGCTACTCACACAGCCAGATGTAGACGTCAGTTTTATAGCGTGGTAAAATGTTTTCATTATTGTACACGAGGGTATTTCTGAAATGGTGACTTGGTGATTTCACGGAAGATTTACGAATGGTTATACACCCTAACCTGTCTTCCTTTTATAACTGGTGCTGCGTCCACGCCCATCCTCCATCTAACACATTCATCTGAGGTGTTAAATGATTGTATTGTATATTATGGTTATAGAAAGCACGAGAGTACACATACAAGGGAGGTAATTCTTCCGTGAATCTATTATTGTATATGTCTATCCAAATGAATATTAATAGTGTTGTCGGTTCTTTTACGTTGACTAAACGATTCCTTTTGGCCATGGAACTACCTATGATTTTTTATTAACTCAAGTCAATGTGTTGGGCGCATATAAGCCTCTTATTGGCCCATGTCGCCCTAAACTATAAAACCAAACCAACTATTATTTTCAAGCCGTAATTGTCTGAAACGTGTTTCCCATTGATTTCAGGTGGTTACACAAGTAACATCGCTTCATCTGTATCACACATCACATCACATCACATTACATCACATCACTGTTATAGCAGGGGCAAGGATATTATTTAATCGTCACAACATGCAACTGAACTCGTTTTCTGTTTGTAAAACTGCGTCCAAGTAAATTAGACGCCACGTGGATTCAATGCTATATTTCCAGAAGTGTCTGAATTTACATTCTAGTATTACGTCATATTGTGCTCCAAAGTACTAACTTGCTTATCTAACATACTGCTTCTTTTTAAAAATCAATTCTCAATAAAACCACTTGCCCACTATACATTATATTAACCGAAGTGCTTATGCATTTCATGTGTGAAGATCGGAGTACGGTGTTAATGTTACATATCGGCATTAACAGAGTTGCGATGTACCCTCAGACTGTTATGAAACCGAAAGACAGCAAAGGCTGTCAAACGAAAAGCTTAAGAAAGAACTATTACACCAGTTCCATTTTCGGTTTAGGATACTGTGTATGTCATTAATACATGAAGCATTATATTTCTGACATATATTTCATTTCCCGGCAGGCGAGGTTCCCGGATATCCAGAGTCCGGATAAGTGAGGTCCCACTGTATTACATATTTAGTAGCGGAAGTACTTATTAGCCAATCACTTTCCTGACACTGAGGTATTAACCTGACTTACATGGAACTATACAGAGACAAATATCATACGCTGTCATTCGACCCGTCAATTTTCCCAACCTATGTCTGAGAAGTGATTCAATCATTCAGATATAATCAGTTCATAAATCTTCTGTCCAGTTTAGGATAATAGTTTAGTTAATATGGCAATGGATAGGAATTCACTTGTGCCAATAGAAATCCTAATGCTGGACATGAATTGTGGTAGACTTTGGAGAACATGTCCGAATTAAACCTATAAGTCTTCTAGAAATCCGTATTTTATAAAGTTGGACAATTATTTTGAATACAGGGTCATTTTAATGTCGTCTCCAGTAGAGGCAAGAATGTTTTTTTCATGTTCATGAAGGTGTTTAAACTGCAGTGAAGAAATAATTGTTGGGGATTGATACGTTATACCCTTGCAGAGGAAATGTGAAGCGAAACTATTTGAGGATACTAGCTGCTGAATTCGAAGAAACGGGTTTCATTCCCCACATGGATAAATTGTGTTAAGCCAATTTTGGTGTCCCCCGCTGTGCTGTTGCTGGGATATTGCTGTTCCTGTGTGTTTGAATGTTGCACTATCAGATACTCCCCTTTATCTGACATGACACAGACATGTCTACATGTATCTTATTCTCCATCTCACATCGTGCATGGTTGATCACAATATCACCAATATCATTTACTCTCAAGAAAGCTAATTCAGACTTGAGATCCCTGCATAATTCTAAAGAAATACAAACTGTGCGTGCTCATAAACATCGAGCAACATTGTCTGTTGATGGTAAATGATATTAATCTACGTAAACTCAGAGCAACATTGTTTATTCCGTGCGAACATTATAGTATACGTATATGTCAAATATAAAGACTCTCAACACGTACTATTTTCCTACACCATGAATATACTTGCGAGTTATGTGATATGTCTCCTTTAGAATTAGCCAATTAATGAAACATCCAGTTAAAGGCACAGTTCGTTCAGTTCATATGTTTATTGACATATACGTCGAGATGGTGTCTATTTTGAACCTGGTTGGAATACTCCTGCAGAGACAACAAAGTATCGCAAAATCTGCTTATTGTACAAAATTATAAACAACCTAACCCCTTCTTAATTGTGTGGACGTTTCACAAATAAGGTTGGTAAAATATCCAGGTGCATATTAAGAAATGCATAAAAATAACACTTATTAGAACATATCATCAACTCTGTCTGTTACCGATTTCAAGAAACTAGCTTCAGAATTTAAACATGAAAATCTTTTCCGTTTTTGACAATGCTTTGTTTACCGACTTAGATATTATATGCATGAAAAGGCGGCCACAGGCGGAATGAGTTGTTCGCTTACAGCATGAGATGTATCCTCCAAGTTCGTCCGAGCGCATTTGATCATGTGCCCGAACCCTGTCACGTGCCGCAAGGCGAGTAACGAGGACGTGAAACGCCTCGAGAGAGAGAGACTGACGCTGTGATATTCAGTGTGTCCATTCCAGGTAATTGACAAGGCATACGGACAAACAACGTTTTCTGAGATTCACAAACTTGAAACTCATAACCAAATAAGCCTAAATACCAGTTGGGCAATGTATTTTGGCTCACATGAACGTGACTCCGAGGTCACAATGATCTGGCAAGGCCAAAGCTGGGACCGGTTATTGATTGATGCTGTAAGGGAGGATACATTGTCTCTGTGTGAAGTACACTAAACGCCAATAGAAACGTTACCCTCCTTCCTTTATGACGGGACCGCCTCCGTGGTGTAGTGGTTAGAGCGTCCGGCCGGAGAGTGGAAGGTCGCGGGTTCGATCCCCGACCGCGTCATACCAAAAGACGTTAAAATATGGTACTTGTTGGTCCCTGCCTGGCGCTCGGCATTAATGGGTACAACAAGGACTGGTCGGCTCGGAGTCAGTATAATGTGTCTGAGTGGGGTATTCATGCTTAACGGTGGCATGGTATCTCAGTGGGCTAGCACTATAAAACCAGCTTCAGTCTGGGCTAGTACAAGCAGCCGCATATACACACACACGCATGCACGTCGTCATATGAGCGAAATATTCTCAAGCACGACGTTAAACCCAATTTCACCTCACCTTTATGACGGAGGTACCTAACTTCGGTTGGCGTTGTGATGCGTGGACGTCCACTTCTTGGTATGTCTACGCGGATCCCAGTCTGTCTGAAGCCCTGAATAAGTCTTATAACCGTGATACGGTGGCATCCGAGGGCTTTTGCAATAACATTGTATGTCGACCTCAGCTGTTAATCGTGGCATATTTCTCGTACTTGTGTATCAGACCATGTCTTCTAGGCTCTCTTTATACCCTTTAGAATCATTCTGCATGTGAAATGGATGTAAATACTGTTTGAATATTGCTGCGTTTTGGCGATTGATATTGCTAAAAATGGAAATAGAAAAATGTTACTTTGCAAGCAAAAATGTTAACAAAGATACTTGTAGATGTTCCTAAACATTTTTTTCACAATATCAAAGACACGTTTTACTTGTTTTCACTAATGCAAATCAGCAGAAAATGTTTTAAAAGACTGAAATCATAGCAATGATTATTTTACAACTTTACACACTCTACAACAGTTGTTTCTTGTTTTAATGGTTGAAAATGGTGACTTTAAATGGTTTATCATTGTCCCAACGCACAATTTTATTTCAACCTTTCTTTTTGACATCAAAATCACTATTATTGGTTTATTTCGGCATGGACGAATATAGGACAATTGAGAATTTTTTTCTTGATTTGCATAAAGCTTACTGTACCTAGTTGTTAAGCTTTCTTGTAAACTAAAACCTTCTAAAATATCTTGCTAGTTTCTTCCGTAATTCATAAAGGAAGGAAGATAACGTTTCTTTTGGCGTCTAGTGTATAGTGTTCGATATGTTCTATTCTTATGTATGTTAGCGCATTTTGTCCTCACAAAATAATCAATCATTCCTCATCTGTTGCTTCGATTTTCAACGACAAGTACAAGCCATTCAGTAGCATCAGTGGTAGTAGAAGCTGAAGTGGTATGGCAGTAGTAGCATATAGTAGTAGTTGTATGTTAGTATTGGTAGTAAAGTAGTGTAAATTGTGGCATTAGTAGTAGAAGCAGAGTAGTAGGAGAGCAGTGGTTGCAAGTGGCATTAGTAGTAGTGGTAGTAGAGTAGTAGGCGAGTAGTAGTGGTTGCTATGCGTGGCATTAGTAGTAGTAGATGGTAGTAGATTGTGTAGATGTATAAACTGTAAAAGTAGTGGCGCGCATTAGTGCAGTGGTAGTAGATGCATAAACTGGGTAAATGTGTAGCATTGGTAGTAGAGTAGGAGAAGTGGCATTAGTAAGTTGTAGTATTGGATGAGCTGTAGTGGTAGTTGTATAAACTGTGTAGATTGGAGCTAGTGAGTGAGTTTAGTTTTACGCCGTATTCAGCTATATCTGGCGGTCTGGAAATAATCGAGTCTGGAGCCGACAATTCAGTGATCAACAGCATGAGCATCGATCTGCGCAAGGGTGTGGTATTGGTAGTAGAAGCAGAGTAGTTGTAGCAAGTAGTAGTAATAATAGTAGTAGTAGGAGAGGAGTGGTTGCACTTAGTATTGGTGAGCGAGTGAGTGAGTTTAGTTTTACGCCGCATTCAGAAATATTCCAGCTATATCTGGCGGTCTGTAAATAATCGAGTCTGGAGCCGACAGTTCAGTGATCAACAGCATGAGCATCGATCTGCGCAAGGGTGTGGTATTGGTAGTAGAAGCAGAGTAGTTGTAGCAAGTAGTAGTAGTAGTAATAGTAGTAGTAGTAGTAGTAGTAGTAGTAGTAGTAGTAGTAGAAGTACTGATAAGTACGTACGATAACACATTTGCTGACATACACGCGCGTCTCTGTCTGTGTGTGTGTGTATGTTTGTGCATACGTACGAATGTTTCTGTGTTTGTGTTGCTGCGTGTATACTAGTAGGTATCAGTGTTACAGAGTATATGCGCATGTCCCTACGCGCGTGTTTGGATTATATGCGTGTGCCTGCAAATTAATCATTCATTCATTATTGGTAGCTCACATAACATGATGCCCCTTCTATGATTCCACACAAAAGTGTGCTATTTTATAAGTCCATGCTGGTTGTATAAGCTAGTTTATACACTGCTGCACATCACTTTCGGATTGGAGAAGGGAAGAATGGGAATACTT